AGTTGCTTTATTGTAATAGGATGGATTCGAAATCTAAGTGTAAACTCAGTGCTTAGAGAACATTCAATCCACCCAACCTTTAACAGAGCATGGCACAGAGGGCAAGTACTAACAGGCGACTTTATTAGTTGATTTTAGAGAATAGCCGACCTGAATAATATCTGCCAAATCGGTAACAAAACTAAAGCTAAATAATGACATGTTTTTGACTCCCATGAAGTTTAGATTGACATTAAAACACTTAACTGTTTATTTGGAACATTTTAACATATATCCACAAGAGGCATGTTGTCAAATTGTTTATAAAATGCAATATGGCTATATCACTTTGGAGATTACAACAATTTTGTGGTGAGATGAAAATAGATTAAAAAAAACAAACTAAAAAACCCGCAGAAAAATAAAATAAAAGTTGGGGAATAATTTTTTACGAAATCTTTTTTGGCCTAACATTTTAAACTGCCTCTCTCCATATAACAAACCATTGTTCAGCCACACCCTACTACTAATATATTGTGATTTGGTGTAGTGTGTGTCAATATTTTGCATTTATGACGTATATTGATGAGACAGATAATTGTGACATACACAAATGTTGCAAAAATAATGTCAGATTAAAAAGTATAGAATTTACAAGAAAAATATTAAATCAAATAATTTTACATTTTTTTATTTAGTATTTGAACTAAAAGACAAGTACGAGTTTTTTCAAAGTGTAAATAGTATCGTTTGTATGTGAATATAAGAGAGTTAAAAATGTTACGGGGTCACAAAGACATCTCCTACTCATTATATAATCGGTAAGAAACACTATAATATAAACTCAACACAGCATTAAGTGAACGTGGGCAATAAAGTGCCATAACAAACTAAGCCTATATTCCCTGATAAAACATTAAGCTAAATCTTAAACAAACACAAGCACGATTAATGAATACAAACACATAGACATAACAGTTTCCAGTGACATTAAATATATACTGGTCACAAACAGATCATCTGGCCCTTCAAATTGAGACTGTGAGGTGTTTATGTAAACATCATTTACACACACACACACACACACACACACACACACACACACACACACACACACACACACACACACACACACACACACACACACACACACACACACACACACACACACACACACACACACACACACACACACACACACACACACACACACACACACACACACACACACACTTTAACCCACCCAGTACCATCAAACTCTTCTGATTATTCTCTAAACATCTAATTTTCGTGAACTGAAAACAGAATTGCAAAATGTAGCCAAAAACACACACATTTGCTATGTTAGCTTAAATATTGCAATTCGTTTTTAATTCGCTGCAATTCGCTGTTTTGATAGTGTAGCGATCTAGGCAGTGCCTGCCACATGCTCCAGGCTCATTCTGCTTGATACACAGAACACGACCAGCTTCAGAATCCAGATAATTGTGTTAAAAGCTCTGCTACATTTTATGTACCTTAGCAGGCACCGGGTGACATTGGAAAATTCCTCTCCCAGACAACTAACTAGATGGATTCTGGATCATCTTCCACGTTTTAATACCATGTAGGCTATGGCTTTCCTTTTTCCCTTGCAATATCACACTGATTTTCATAAAGACATCCAAGGGACATTATTTCCAAGCCTCCATAATTTACCTATACTATTTGGCAGTGCAGCACCCAAAGTAAATGGGTAAATACTTTATAACTGCAGCTACAACAGACTGGCTGCTGTAATGAAGAAAAGATTTATGTCACTATTCCAGTCCAAATAGCAGCAGCCTCTGTTTGTCTCGGCCCAGTGCTTCTATTTAAATGTTACTTTCATATATTATGTGGCATTAATTTAACTATAGCTCATTAAAGCAGAATGAAATGGTTAAATTAACTTATCAACCCATAATGATGATGAATGAGGTATTAATTCAGATACAAGCCGGGCAATTTGCAAGTGTACGCATTCTGATGCTTCTCAAATAACATTTTGAATAGCGGGTCACCGCTTCGATCAATTACACAAACATGTAAAGTCGCTCTCCTGGAAAAAAAAAAATCCTTTTTCATGCATATGCATTAAAACATGTCGGTAATTATCCTGGAAAATTGCCTTCATTGGATTAAGCTGCAGAATTGGACAAGAGCTATTCTCATTTCCCCTTGTATTTTACTGAGAGCTCACAGGCACAGGGGGATTCTAGGAGGTATGAGATCTTTGTAACCCTTTCAACGAAGGGATAGGGGGTGGTAGTGACATCTAAAGGGTTAATGATTAATAGAGTTAAATGATTTAAGGGAATATCTCAAGATGGACAAGGATATATAAATCTCATTCTATCTATCTATCTATCTATCTATCTATCCCTCTGTCTGTCCATGCATTTTCTATCTGTCTGTCTGCCTGTCTGTCTGTCTATCTGTCTATCTTTAGGTCTATCTATCTATCTATCTATCTATCTATCTATCTATCTATCTATCTATC